CAGAACAAGATTATAAGTTCAGAAAGTCAGGACGCGTAGAGTACCTGGAAATTGCGCGTGAAATCAGTTATGTCGCGCAGTGAACGCACACAATCGGTCATACTGTAACCCGGTCTAGTTACCCAAGTTTGAAGAACATTCAGTAGCCTGTGTTATACGTCTTGCGCACGACCGGGCTGATGTATGTTTCAGCACTGCCTGCGACCTAAGTGGGAAGGGAAGCTCGGGAGTGAGGGTTACCACCCGTGGAGCGATCCGCCTTAGGTCGTGGTACGATAGGTGCTACCACGCTCGGGCTGCGGGATACCATGTCCCACACCGGGGTTTGAGCCAGCGATGTAATCATACATCACCTCTGTTTCACGCGCAGTTTTGAGGGGTACTGTATGCATCCTCGCTTTCTGAACGTATAATTTAAAATATTCAGGACCTATTCATTCCGATTTCAGGGTCCGTCCGCTTCTGATGCTGGCCAGTATCGCTGCAACCTTCGAAACGACCAGGGTGAGACAAATGCCAATCTCGCTCTGAACTTCGAAGAACCTGATCCCAATGAGAAGCAAGAGAAGAAGGTAAGTTTGGTATTTTGCGAGACAGCTGTCGATTCGAAAGCTGCAATAACCCTGCCAAAGCTCACCTTGATCCAGGATTTTCTGCTACCTGTAAGAATCAACTGACTCTGTTCCATGCTTACGAAAACGTATCGGGTTACCGTAGCGCCCGTCTATAATCTAATGTCCACCTTGTGGAATGCTTGTGGCTAACACTTAGCAACTGCTACGCGTTAATCCACTGTAAACATCTTTCCCTCGTGCCATAGTAAAACACGAACGAGTGAATGAATGCCCGTCAAAAATATGGGTGATTGATTTTCAGGGGCGCCGATCCCCGTCAGAAAAGAGAAAAGACACAGCATCGCCTCGCCCTCCGTCCCGTAACGGATCTCGCCCAGGAAGTCCCAAAAAAGCCCTCAAGTCCCGAGAGGGTACACCAAAGCGAAGTCTGAAAGGCAGAGAAGGATCACCTTCGAAAAAGTCGATGAGGTGAGCATTCTGGGAGAGGTCTAAATATGACAAACATAGTAGTTCTTCTCAGGTCCCGAACATCGACTCCAGTACAAGAATCCGGAAACACTCTCGCACCCGAAGATGCTGCCGCTAACGGAGAGGCGAGGAGGTCCAGCAAAACCGTGGACAAGATGGAGGTTGATGCAGGTACGTTCTCTGTTTCGCCTTCTATACATGTATTAGACAGTTCATCTGAATATTTACAGCTACTTCCAAACGCAAACCTGAGGGTCTCCCTGTCCCACCCTCAACTGAAGAGAAGAAGATGCGCACGTCCTCTCCAGTGCCACCATCGTCTGAGGAGCAGAAGATGAACACTGCTTCACCGGCGCCTTCCGCGTCCGAAGAAAAAATAGAACGCTCACACTCTCCCAAGCCACCAGCGCCCGATGAGAAGAAGACACGCGCCAAATCACCGTTACCTCCTCCATCTGACGAGAAGAAAGCCCGCTCGAAGTCTCCCGTACCACCTCCATCTGAAGAGAGGAAACCTTCAAAGTCCCCGAAGCCACCTGAACCCTCTTCAAAGGCAGCTGCGTCCCAGAGCAAACGAGACAAATTCACTCGACCGCCCATTGTCATGGAGGCAATTCGATCACAGGTAGGATCTTTTGAGGGGATTGATTTCACCACTGTGGCGTGATGGCTAGCTCATGCGTCGATTGCTGATGCGCTCGCCATCATCAGTGTAAAGTAATGCTATGTTCCCGCTCAGCACCTCAGCAGTTAAGACATTTTCCATCTCTCCAAACCCATGAAGCAGGAAAGAAGGGGATGTGAATTCACCGATGGCGTACTATTCCAGGAAATGTAGTGAGCTGGAAAACAGCATTGTGTCAATCCCAAGATATTTTGAAGGTTCTGAAAAAGTGACAATCGGTGTTAGTTGACTGGCTGGATCATAGAAAGGTTGTCGGTGATTTGTCTTACAACCACAGATTGAATGCCATTGATTACAAGCACGGCTTGTCATTCATCGGGATATTAAAGTCTGGGACAATAACATCTGGGATACGGCGGCGATAAAAAAACGTTCCAGAAAGTGTGTAGGAGATGGGTGAGGGAGGGGGCAGAATGCGGAACCTATCAATGGATTTTTCATCATGAAAGCACGGACGTCACTCACTGGCACTTATTTTCAGACAGGCAAACCGGGCGATACAGTTCATTTGGAAGTGGAATGGCAGTGCCATACGTCAACTATCATCGAATGGTTCAAGTGAGTTTTGTCTTAGGTTCAACGAGAGGACTTAAAAAATGGGACATTGCTCCGTTATTCTAGAGCCGCGGGAAAACTAACTTAGAACAAACCCTATTCGGGCACTTTTCAATAGTTTACCTAGAATTTATCAAATTAGGTACGCCTAAAAAAGTCATTTTAAAAAATAGAGATGGTGGTTAAAGTCGTCGCCAGGACAGGATTTTGAGGATTGCTGCGGTGAGGCGTGCCGCTGCCACTTCGATAATGGATCCGTTTTAGGAGTTTCTTGTGCTTTGGGAAAAACATACGGTTCTTAAGGGTTGTAAAAAATGTAGAAGGAAGCGAACACTCAGACGGGTGTATTCCTTCTCCCGATAGGCCCGAACTATAAATTGGCAGCTAACCACGTCAGTACGTGCACCGAAGGACATCCCAGCACTGTGAGGGTTGGCGGAACAGTGACAAGCAATCCTGCATCAAAAAACCCGAACATCGAAGCTTCCACTATGAATCGCTGTTAAGGATGGTGCACTTCCACCTAGAGTCGTGGTCGCTGTGAATTGGTCCATGCAATGCATTGCCGGAGGGGGCAGGGGGGGAAGGATTGCTGCCAATGTAGAAGTCGACGTTTTTATTCCCTCAAACAAGCCCAGTGCTAATTAGCATTCCCCGTAAGCATGAAGAGTTCGACTGGCTCGGGCGAGAGCCGATCCGGGATATGCACCCCAGATCACGTGGCTTGTGGTAAGTGGCGCCACTTGCCGCTACACCTACCTCTCCCTAAACGAGATTTCAATATTATCGGGTTATAACCATATATTTCTAGCTTCTGACCCTGATACTGGTGTTCAAGAAGAAAAGAAAACTGATAGCCTAGAATAGATGAAATTAACGCTTTTCCAAACCTTGTTGCAACTTTTTTTTCCGCGGCTGTATATGCCTGCGATTCGCATGAATTTTGGCCCTCAGTATCTGCTGAGGCCTAGCTAGAAAGCGCACTTTTTGAACGAAAAAACTCAACTTATCTCAAGAAGTGACTTCGAAAGTGTCAATTCTTTGAGAGCTAGTTTCCTTTGCTACCAAAAATTTACACTAGTGATCTACGAGAACGATTGAGCGCAGGACGGCGGCGCAGTCAGAGCAGATTTTTCATCAATTGTAGC